TTCCATGTTTTGTTTTTCAATAATGGCTTAGAAGTTAAAACGGTTGAACAACTTGATCTAAAAGTTTAAGTTGTTAGATTGGATTATATGTATAATATTTAAATATTATCTTCAACAAGCCTCCTCGCTTGGGACGAATTTTTTTTTGCCAATTAGAGCTTAACACGTGCACAATTGATTTAAATGGTCACTAGTTAGACTTGAATCTAGGACCTTTGCTTGCTCTAATATCGTGTTGAAGTACTTGATCTAAAACCTTAAACTGTTAGATAGGGCCACATGTATATTATTTAAAGATTTTCCTTCAACAATAACATTCACATTGGCTATTCTCTGAGTTTGTCTTCTATCATGATGTTTCTAATTTTGCATGAAGCGTTTAAAAAGAAAATTTATTTTTTTAAATTTATTTACTTATTCTTAAATGCTTCTAAATATAAATGTTACGGTTTCCAATCAGGCTATGGATACATCAAGTTGTCCTTTCCAAGTTCTGTTTTCTCAACAATGCCTTGAGTTACAACATTCGCATTGGCTATTATCTGATTTTGTCTTCTGTCATGATGTTTCTAGTTTTGCTTGAAGCATTTAAAAATCAATTTTTTCTGTTTTAATTTATTTACTTGCTCGTAAATGCTTTGAAATATCAGTGTTAGTTTTTCGGTCAGCCAATGGATACATCAAGCTGTACTTTCCAAGTTTTATTTTTTCAACAATGCCTTAGAAGTTATAACATTTGCACTGGCTATTCTCTGAGTTTGTCTTCTGTAGTGATTTTTTCTAGTTTTGTGTGAAGCATTTAGAAAGCAATTTTATTGTTTTAATTTATTTACTTGCTCTTAAATGCTTTGAAATATCAACGATACGGCTTTCAGTCATTTAGGTTGTATTTAATTAATATGTTACTGTTAAACAGGTTCCTTAATTGGCTGTACCAATGGGAATTCAGCTGATGCGTTTGAGCCTTCAGGACATCAATCTGATCACGACTTTGCTAAAAATGGACCAATATCCAACAGAGGAAAGAAAAAGGAAGTATTGCTTGATGATGTTGGTGGCGCAGTTTATAGATCAACATCTACTCTAGGCATTTCAGGTGATGCAAGAGGAAAGAGATGTGAGAGAGAGAGAGAAACTTCAACCAGAAACCTGGCTTCCAAAAATGGGCACTCATCAATGGGTGGCTCTAAGGGTGAACGTAAAACAAAAGCAAAGCCGAAGCAGAAGACAGCTCAGCTTTCCGCATCTGGAAATGGATTTGTCAATAAAAGAGATGTTAGGTCAATATCTTCTCGTAATGCGCCTCCAGATACGTCAAAGGAGACGAAGAAATCTATGGACCTTCCAAATTTGTCACTGAATGATGTCGATTCAATAGAACAACTAGGGGTAAATTCTGATATTGGTGGAACACAGGATTTCAGTACTTTGTTCAATTTTGATGACGACGGGTTACAAGACCATGATTCCATGGGCCTCGAGATACCTATGGACGACCTGTCATTAATTATGTTTTGATAAATGATTGCAAGTTGTACAGCTTGTGGAATATTTAACTGGTAACAGAATGATATTTTTCTTAGTTCTTTTTTATTGAGGGGTGGGCATTAGCTTAAGGTATGTCTTGGCCAAAATGGCAGTTGTAATTATGTAATTCTTTCGGACACTCCTCTTGAGATAAACTGTTAAGAAAATCCTTTTTTGTTTGTCTTCTGGAGAATGTCTCCCTGCGAGAAGTATGAAACTTTTTGAGAGTACTCTGTTAAATGATCAAGAATTGTTTTGAGCATATGATTCTCACTGGCTTTGCATGTATTTTAATGCCTGCGAAGGCATTTTACCAAGTGAAATCTTAGTAAGTACTAATTGAAGCATAACATTTCTATTTTGGGCATTCCAGATTTCCTGGGATGGTATTAGCAGCAGGGGTTTCTTTTACAGGTTAAGTTTAGAGTGCATTGTAGATGATATTGGGAGATGTGATCATAATGTAAAGGTATAACCCCAATCTTTTATCACTTCTATTGTGGTAAGTTGGGTTCATTTTTCGGATAACTATTGCCCTTTTTCCAGCTTTCCTCTTCTTTTTCAGCATGTTTGGTAAGCAATATTGGACTGGACTTACAGCACTATCAACAAGATATTTGAAGGTAACTTTTACTTAGTTTTAAGCTAAGCCAAGTGTGTCATTGGTGAAGCTACTGCTTCTCCGATTTAGCATTTAAGTTTTTATGTGGGGTTAGCCTGTTTGCTGGGTTGTTTCTTTGTCTATCTTTATGTTTCATTGGTCAGGACTATAGAATATTTTATTCATGTGCAGCAGATTTCTCATATATATTTAGAAATCCTTTGTGAATGGAGTATTCCTGTCATATCTTTTGGGCTATTCTATTTGGATCCTTTGAGAATCACTACATTAATTAAAAGAGAGGATAGTTCCTGCACTGTTCATTCATGAAACCGAGGTTTCACACTTATCTGGTTCCAATCTGGTTTTCAACTGTTCATAGATTAAATATCTTTCACATCACTTTTCTAGCCACTTTTTTCCTCTTGCTTCTTCTTTCTCGGTTCAACCTCTCTAAACTTTCTTCATCCGACTAAGATTTGCTGCTCTTTCTCGTGTTGTTTTCCTTTCTTTGGGATTTCGCTTCCTTGGGTAGCATCATCCTTTTTCCCCAGTTAATAGATTTTATGTCGCTTTCCCTTCTCCTCCAAGAGCCGAGGATGGAGGTGTTTCTAGCATCTCCACCCTTGCCCACAGGACCCTTCATAGGTACTTTCCTCCATCACCTCCTCCAGCTGAGATTTCCTTCCTAGCCCCGTCCACAAAGTGTATGATTTTAGCTTTTCACACGCCTCTTCGATCTCTTTCCATTCAAGAATAGTTGAAAATCTTCTTAGGTTCACCTGTTTCATGAACTTTTATATTTTCCACTGTTTGATTTCACCATTTGATCGATTTCTTTTGTTGATAAGTATTGACAACTGAGGCTTTTTTTAAGTTCTGTTTTGTAGGGTTTCGAGAAATCAATTGATTTCGAGAGGAAAAGTATCAATTTTGTGTGTGGATTAGGAGAATTCTGCTTCATTATGTGGGTTTCCCGTATTTAATCAAATTTTTCGAATAGTCCATCATGCATAGAACTGGATGTGGAAACTGGTGAACCTTTCATGGCTCGGGCCATTATTGCAAATTCTCATGCTTATGGTTAGTAATTCTAATGTTACTGTATTTAAATGCTAAAATTTGATTAGGTTTAATTTTTTAATAAAATTGAGTCTATAGTAGAATCATTTTAGCCGAACTTATGACTAAGAACTAGAGAAGGAGATTTGAATGGCAAGCTTTGGTATTTGCAATGTATTATTATATATAATACATGACTTGTTTTTTCAAGGTTTTTTATTTGCTAACATATGTTTTCCATATTTAAAATGTCCTTTCTGTTATTAGGGCATGCACATGTTGTTGAAGCACTTGGTGTACCATTGCACAACTTCTTCACAATGCCTTGGACGTGAGTTTGTATTATCATTTCTGTAAATGTCTATCTTATCTATGTTTTGTTATCCAAGTTATCAAACTTATATTTTACTTTCAAAACGAGAAATATTATTTTGTGGAAATATATTTTCCTATTTATTTTCGAGAAATGAGTGATAATGCACATGTATAAACACCGATCAAACAGAGAATTGAATGTTTTTGAAAGTTTATTTTTTACAAAATGGTTTACGGAGAAAAAAAATATTATTTGTAGAGTAGGACTATAAGTATTCTTTTATCAAGACATTTATTTTATCTCTAATGGAGCTTTCTATTTACTTGCAAGGAAGAAAGAATAACATACTCAGATGAACAAGCCCACATGTGAATTTCCTCATCTATTTGCACGTGTACCCCAAAGTGCATGATACTTGGTATGTTTCAAGTTGTTTGTAGATGGTTTTCTTTTGCATTTAGACAACTTCAATTAGATTTGATAAACAAATACATTCCCTAATATTTCTTGCTTGGTACAAATTTTATACATTCTTGTGGATTTACTAATATGGTGGGGGCATAAATAAATACATTAATGACTCGAGGAAAAAGAAGCTGAAGCTTGATCCTACTGCATACTTGAGTACATACTGTCATACCATGGGTCGGTATGCTAAAGCAAAATGGTAAGCATGTCATTTAGAGTTGCATGACTAATATTTATGGAGGCAATAATCTTTCATTGCTGGGATGCTAAATTATGAAGAAATCTTGTTTCAATCAACGTTTACCATATCTCAATCTTATCTAGGACTACTCCTTTCAACGAATCTGTAGACTGGGGCCCTCTGGTTGATATTGCCGATTATTTTTAAAAACCAGCAACCAAAACTTCAACCTCCTAGAGAATTTGCTGAATGGATGCAAAAGGGATTTAGGCTCTTGAACTACGTTTGTAGGTGAAATTTTTAATTATCAGTAGTATTTTCACTTAGAGGCAGTTTTTCTATAAAAGTGAACTTTTGTCTTGTAAGGAATTTTTTTTTTTTTTTTTTTTACATATAAGTAAATTTTCCAGTTATGACATTATTGTTTTACTCATAGTTGAAAATTTAGTTGTAAGTCGAAAATGGGGGAAGCTTTGGATTTTCTGCATTCAAGGGACAATACAGAAGGTGGAATAATGGATGGCTGTACGTTTACTCTTCTCCAAAGCAAGTGACCCAATGCCCATGGTGGACTCCAGTTTCACCCCAACACGTTTTCTCTACAGCCCATTTCTAATAACTAGCATGAGAGCCTCTCCCTTGGAGGTACGAATCGATGAATTATACAATTTTTGTGATTTCTACAAAAAATAATAATAATAATAAAATAAAAAAAATGTTTCAACTTTACACTCAAGAATTATGGAGAGAATGGTTGAATGTTAGAAAATTTAAACTTTATGATATCATGCGTGTGATTCTGAAATGAATATATCAAAATGTGTATAATTGTATGTTATGACAGATTATATTTATTGTTACACCAGATGCTTTTATTTACATTCCCTTCTCAAGAGCTACTAACGACAAAATGTGTAGGAGTGTGTGTCTTGCCTATCATTGAAAGACGAGCTGCAGAAGCATCAGCCAACTCGTAATAAGCTTTTTTTCTTCTAACAAATTATATAAAGTTTTATCAAGCTTTTTATATTTGGAATTTTGAAATAAAGTATGTTCCATATACATATGTTTCAGAATATGTTCATCCTTATTTGTTAATAATTCGAAATGTTAATAACATATTGATTTGGAAAATTTTAGGTATATGTTTTTCATGTGGAGTGAAGAACATTTTCCCGATGAACTCATCATTCTTGAAAATCCACCATGCAGGTCCATCATGATGGTGCTCGAACCTCAGCTACTGGAATGAAAGTTGGGTTAATTTTCCTTGATTTTTCCATCTTAAACGCTCCTGTAAACATGAAATTTTTTTTCGCTTGTGTGCCACTGTCCATCTGCACTTTTTTCTCATTTATTTTATCAAACGTTTGATTTAAAAAAACCACTTTTGATGTATATCCTCGTCTTATGAATTTTGAAACCAGTTCGTAGGCTAATGTATGTGTTTTGAGTTGCTTAGATTCAGAATTATAAGTACTGGGTGCTTTTTCTAATGATTTTTAGCTCAACTATAAACGCCAAGCTAAAAATGAAATAGGGTTGTGAATATTTGTGGAAAAGAATGAATCCATTAAAATTGAGAGGGGGAGAATTTTGGCTGCTGAAAAGACTTGCTAGAAACTTTTTGCTTGTTTAGTCTAGAATGACACAACTTAGCAAGTTTCGCTCAATAGGGGAAAGTCCATCCCAATGTAATCACTGCAAACATTGAGTTGAGGATGTAATTCACGAGAATCTAACACATTTCTTGCACTAACCTTACCTTCAAAATAATCCAGCGCGTGCATTAGACGAGCAAAGACTAGTATTATAAAAGGGGATAAATTGTTATTAGTTCAAAGCTTTTCTTAATCAAGATTTTTGAGTGAGAAAGTGTCCTCAGGAACAGAAAGAATCATAAGGTAGAAAAGTTGAACGTGGATTTTCTAAATACACTGGTGGCTAACTTCTTGTGAAATTTTATGTAGTTTACTAAATCAGAAGGTTGTGATGGCCCCTTACTAACAGAACATCCTGTTAATCAGAGAAGGATTTTGGTGACAAGACCTAGACCTTTTTCTGCTGTGTGGGTAAAAGCTGAAATGACATTTCACCCCTCCATAGGTACACCCTTCTTTCCAGCTTTCTTCAGTTCAAATACAGGTCGCTTTGGCTCATTTCTAGTTGCGTCCTCCTTATCCGAAAAGTATGGCTTCAACACACTAACATGAAGGACCTTGTGGATTTTACACCATGAAGGGAGTTCAACTCTGTATGCAACTCTTCCAATCCTCTTCACAATGGGTAATGGTCCAATGTATTTTGGTGACAATCTTGAGTCCTTCCCTCTTGTTGGTTTGTAAACATTTCTGTCGGGAAGCTTAACCATTACCAGATCTCCAACATTGAATTCAATAAAACGGCGCTTTAGATCTGCAGCCTTTTTATACCGTTTTTGAGCTTTTTCAAGATAACTCCGAGCAATTTCAATATTTCGTTTCCACTCTTGAGAAAAGCTCTTTGCTTGATGGGACTTGGTACTTCGTTCAATATCCACTGTATGAGGGAGTAGCGGTTGCTGGCCAGTAACAATCTCAAAAGGACTCTTATTGGTGGAAGAGCTCTTTTGGGCATTGAAGCAAATTTGGGCCGCATCCAAAAGTTTTACCCAGTTTTTCTGCGAAGTAGAGATAAAGTGCCGAAGATATTCTTCTAGCATAGAATTGAAGCGCTCCGTCTGTCCGTCAGATTGTGGGTGAAAACTG